AAATTTCGCAACAAGACTAAATTTAATATTTATGAATTTCAAGTGCTTCATTTACAATGGGAAAATAATAATTTTGCAATTTAAAATAAAAATAAACGTTCAGGGGTATATATGCAACTCCACATAAACTTCAGGGATATATTTGTTCCAAAATATTGAACAAAGATATATTTGTTCTCACACTCATGTATTTGTACCTTTTCTCCACATTAGTATGTTGGGGCCAAATCAAAACCGTATATGTTACACACTTGAAATTTATTATATTTACATTCTATAAATATATAAATATAATAAATGTTACTTAGGTTTGAGGCCAATGTTGTAGTAATTTTTTATTGACATTTTTTAAGTGCTAAAATATGTTTTTTTACCAGTAGAATCAGTAAGATTTATGAATCAATCAATTGGAAAGAAGAAAAAAATAATTGTAGTTAGAATCATTTGGAAGGGCTACACTTGGGTAGCTACAGTTGATGATTTTGTGTAAATCTGCTTGGCCTTTGAGCTAAGTTACTGTTCAGAAAACATGAAATAGGCTCTATTATGTTCAGATTCCATTTGCCATACAGATGGTCTTTTGGATTTTATTTGGAGTAACTATGAATTTTGTCCCATGAATTTGATTTCCTTATCAACTTTGGTCCTCGACTGACACCAACTTGCCCCGATTTTGGTGTACGAGATTCATTTTCTAAAATCAAATGTGGTCCTCCAGACCACGTTTTGGAGAAAACTGACATGAATAACACGGAATTGCGTAAATAAACGTGCTTGGGTGGACCTAAAGCAATAGAGGCACTAAATTTGATGATATTTGTTTTATTTTTAAGTCAAGGGCCAAAAGAGATAAGAGAACAAAAAATGCAACCAAAGTTCTAACTCATTTCCCCCATGTTATGGAGCACCAGATTCAGGATGGCACAGGTGATCACGTCATCGTGGATGTAAACTACCTGCCTTCTTTTAAAGAAGTCCCTGACGATATAGCCATGCCTGCATTTTGGGAAGCAATAAGGGATAAGCTTGACCAGGCCAAAACTATGGCTACCTAGTCCGCTTGTCTGTCATTTGGCTGCGCATCTATACTAGTGCTGTGTTTCTTTCAATGGCTCTTTTGGTCCATTCTGCAACAGTAGTTTCAATTCGGCATGTGAAGTATAGAGTAACCCCTTTGAACTTGAAATGATTAATTGATTATAGTGAAATTGTAACTTTTTTTTTATTTTACAAAAGGGAGACTTTAACTAATAAAACAGCAAGGGGCAAAATATATGGTGAGTAGTGACTGCATCTTATTTCAACCATTTATCTGGGTTTGTGCAAGTCATACCTAAGTGGTCTATGAGTAAGCGGTAGTTTAACATTCTCTTTTAGATAAACTTTTATATACTCCTAAATAAAATTATTAAAAATATATTAACTAAAAGGAAAACTCAAAATTTAATCTTATTAAGTCAAACCATTATAAGTTTAAGTCATACAATGATGTGTTAATTAAAGTGAACAAAATAATTAATAACAAATCAATTTCATATAATCAAAGAACAAAAGTCACAAACAAAATAAAAATGCGTTTTAATCAAAATTCACAATGAATCGTATATGAATGGCAGAACTTTTCAAGCATTGGTATGTAGGCTTGGACTCGGGCCCGGCCTCCGGTTTGTAAATGATGGGCCCGGGACCGGCCCGAGGTGAAGACGGTTCCGGTTTGGGTCGGGCCACCCGCCCGGGTCATGGGTTGGGCCACCCGTCGGGCTAGGTCGGGCCGGGTAAATCCAATTTTTTTTTTACTTATTTATTCTTTATAGTTTTATTCAAGTATTAAAAACAAACTTCAAGTGCATTTGTTTGAAATGAAATAGGAACTACATTTGACAATTGAGAAAAAAATACAATATGAAATACATTTTGTAATCAATCGGAATTTCCCAGTTGTTCGGCTTTGTCACATGACTTAATATGCTTCTTGGCCATCCCGTATCCGCGTGAAACCCCTAAGCTACACTTTTTCCCGCACCATTTGCAAGTTGCGTACCACATCCCGGTCCTCGGGTCCTTCTGCGTATAAAAATTATACGCGATAACGGCATATTGACTTTCCATCTTAAAAATGGTAGATATAATAATTCTATAAATACTAGAAAGTCTAGAATAGATGGAGATGAAGATGGAGAATGGAGATTGGAGATCGTATATTGGAGAAGATGTGTATAAAAATGTTAGAAAATAGGAGTATTTATAGAAATTTTTGTACCCCCACCCCCACCAATGGCTATATAGCTGTTTTGGCCTTTGAGGCTTAAGCCTTTGAATTCATTTTTTTTTTGTTTATTTTAGTTTAAAATTTTTGAATAAATTACATAATGTAAAATTAATAAATTTGAGAAAATGAGAAGTGCTACATATAAAAAAGTTAACGTATATTTATTAGAATTTAGAAATATGAACTACAAGTTTACATGTTTCAATTGAGAATTGAAGGAAAAATTAAAACATGAAATACTAATCAATCGGAATCTCCAGCATAGGTAGAGCCACCCTCGGATGATTCATCCATAAAGTTTTGGGATGTGGTGATGCCAATTTCTTGAGCTTTACGGGGCGCCTTCAACCAATCATGGTAGCATATAAGCGTCTCAAGAGATTCTGCGTTCAACCTCGTTCTAGATTGCGTTAGGACATTGCGCAGTTAAAAGCGCAGTTATCTTCAAGAGTTAATTTGCATGCCTTCCCAATTGAAGTTTTATCTGAAATTTGGTATCAGTGAACTAGACTTAATTAATAGGATGGTCAAAAAATTTCATCAAAAAATTCTTCCGGGAACCACCCCAAATGACGACGGCCGGACATAGCCTCCTATATAAGGTCTTATTTGACCTTTTATGTAAGTTTGATGACCTATTTGACCCTTTTCCCAACGATTAAAACTAAATGGATACTTTCTAATTAATGACGATCAGGAACAAGGATTGATTCCGGGGTAATCAGATTTCTGGTTGATCGGGCTTAATCACATGAACATTAATTAATTAAGACTCGCTAATCAATACTAATTTCTAACCGCTCTCGCGGCGTAAAGTACAATAATTTAGGGAACCAGGCGGAGCGAGCGAGCGGCATCTAAAATTATTGCCAAAACGAGCGAGCGTACGACCCCTTAACCGTTACCAATCTCTTAGCAAACGATTAAGTGCGTTTGAAGGTGTCCTAGAACAAATTAGACCTCTCTTAATTTATTGTACATGCAAATATATAATCCTAGAGTTAATTATCAAAATAGGACTAAAAGTCATTCACTTTTCACAAATAGGACCAAAAAATAAACTATGTTTGCATAGGACTAATTATGTGTACCTTGGACAATTATACCCTTATAGCTATTAAAATGTTTTAATTCCTAATAAAATAATAGAAAATAATAAAAATTCGTAAAAAATACTAAAAAATTAAGAAAAACATTTCGATATTAAAAATTTAATTAATTTTTTTTTCAAAAAATTAAAAAAATTAAAAAAATTAAAAAAAAATAAAAACTCAAAAAAAAATCGCCGCCGCCTCTGCCGCCTCAGCACCACCACCACCAGTCACTAGGGGAAAAAATGCCAAGTTCATTACGAATGCCATATTTATGGCAGAAAAAAATGAAAATGTTGGCATTCGAAAAGAGAAATATGCCACTTTTTTGGCATTTTCAGAAAAAATGGCATTTTTCTGGGAAAATGGCATTTTTTTCATCGGCCGGAGGTGGTGGTGCTGGGAGGTAGTACAGGCGGTGGGAAAGGCATCCATATTTTTTTAATTTTTTTTTACGGAGTTTTACTATTTTTTATTAATTTTTTTAAAAATAAAATTATTTAAAAAAAAATTAATTTTTTATTTTATAAAATTTTTATAAATTTTTTACTTATATTTCTACTAATTTTTGAATTTTTTTCGAATTTATTATGAATTAAACATTTAATTATGGCTTTTGACTATTTTTAATTCATATTTAATGGAAGGGTAAGAATGGAATGCAAAATAGGTATGTTTCCAATAGGACTCATATGGTCCTATTTTGGAATAAAAACATAGCAAGTCCTATTTTAGGTTTTTGTCATAGTTTTAGTCCTATTTGAACTAATTTCTAATAATCCTAATGACCATTCTATTCTAGGTTACAAGAGATATTAATTGAATCATTCAAACACAAATTAACCAAAGATTCATGCAATTAATCCATCAAGAACTAGCCATACATCATAATCAACTCCTTCATCAATCCCAAATCCTTAATTAAAACTACTCACAACTCATAATTGAATCAACAATAGAATTGTGATGAAAAGAATTAATTGTCATTAACTAAAAAGTTGAAACTTACAAATAATTCCAGGGTATTGAAGAAAAATGCGGAAAAACACGTGTAAACTCGTGCCTAGGCCTCTCTCTAAGCTCCCCATTTCAAAACGGGGGTTTGGGGTCTTTAAATAGTGAAACCGGACGAATTTGGGTAGAACTGGGATTTTCCTGCGCAGGCACGGCGTGCCTACTTGCATTTGACTATGCTTCGTTCACCAAAGTTGTAGCTAATGAAATCTGATATTCATAAAAACTTGCAAAAATAGATTTGGATCATTGAAAAAAAAAGATATGAATAAAATGGTAGAAGGTCGCATCCTGAAATCTCAACAGCTATTAGCTGACTTCCTCGTTTGTTTTCACCTTGCTTCTCTCAGATTCTCGTCATGGTATCTTCATATGATTTGTAGTTCTTGAAGTTAGCTGTCATATGAAACTTGAATCGTGTACTTTGGATGTCTCTAAAAAAGATATGCTTGAACGATTGACATAACGTCATCTTGACCGCCGTTTTCAAGCTCTTTTGATCCTGTAGCCATTTGTATAGCTCTTTTGTAATTATTTTTTTATTTACTCTTTTTTGAAGACAAACTCTTTTTTTCTCAAAAAAAAAAAAAAAAACAACAGGACCCCTTCGTTAGCAATTTCACCCCGAAAGAATCGACCCTGACGTGCTGTGAGTAGAACCTGTGTGGATCGCCTTGTATACACTATAGAGACATATCCCCGCCGTGTCCTCCACGAGATTCCTTCCTAGCGGTCCGAAGCTGTGAAGAGAATGCCTAGTATGCTGCGGGAGAGGGTCAAGCGAGCCATACTACCTCTTGCCCAGGAGGTAAATAAACTATGCAATCGAGTCTGGTTATACCATGGTTCATTTTAGTGTTACATATCCTCTTAACATAGAAATTTATTTTATATTTAATGGTTTCCTCTATTGATTCGTTCTGTGGGTAGCTTGACCCATATCATAAATCATGGATTTGATTGCCAATATTAACCTCTACTGTTTCTGTTGGAAGCTTAATCTCTATCATTATCTATGGTTTCAGTGCCAGTATTAACTTTTTGTTAGGCGTGATTGTAGAATATTGACAAATTAGACACTGTCATCAAAGAGGGAAACTACTATGGAGCTCAGCAGATGCTGAAGTCTCTCAGTGCAAGGTTCTATTAATTATTTTTCTTTCTGGAGACTTAACACTGCTAGTTGCCCTTAGGTTTTATATTAAACACATCTTGGTTTTCCTAAATTTCCTGGTCGGTGCTAGATATGTGTCTGCTGAGAGGTTTTCTGATGCCTTAGATCTTCTTCAGTTTGGTGCTTGTGCGCAATTGGAAAATGATCAGGTTATGCTTTTCTCGGTTAAAGCTATTTTATCTTTGTGATTAGTAATTACACAGGATTATGAATTCACTTGCAACCAGTTTCTTCATTTTGCAGGTTACTTGTGGGGGAGAGCTTGCAGTTTTGTTTGTGGAAACCCTTGTAAAAGGAAAATTATCTTACGATGGTGACACTCTTGGTTAGTAATTTTTCAAGCGAAACAAGCTAACGCTGATATTTACATTCCCATTATTGCATTGCACTTTCTTTGTAGTTGTATACTTGTATATTGTGTTGCTTTATAATTCAAATCAAGCCAGGTTACTCTAATTTATCTTAGTTTATTTTTATCAACTGGTGAAAAGTATAACTTATCCTACTTTATGGTTCCTGTGTGGAAAAGTGTTATGTATGTGATTTGTCCTTTTGAAAATGTTCCTCCTAGGGGGGGGGGGGGGGGGAGGATAGTAGCATTTTTGAAAGTCAATGGTGGCAGCTATGATAGTTTTAATAAATAGGGACTAGGGAGAGAACTGCCTTGCAATAAAACCAGGAATCTTCTTCAAAAAGAGTGGCCTATAGAGGAATATTCTAAGATGAACTTCCCAATTTTCAGCTGAATAGTATCAACCTTCAGTTGGAGAAAATAATATTGTCTCTACAAATGCGTTTTTCACAAATAGTGCATTCATATATATTCACAGTAAATTGTACGTCTATCATACACGTGTCTCATGTAGTCACACTTTCCTTTAAATCAATCTCTTTTCTAGAGTAATGTGCCACCCTTTTATTTCTGGCCTAGCCAAACTTATCTTTATGGATGAAAATCTCACATACTAGAGTTTAAGGAGCTTAATAAGACACTAGTTTTCTTATATTTTGACAACACCCCTCTGGATTGACTTCCCAATGTTGTCTTTAATGCAGTTCATATATTTGTAAATCAGATCTTAGGTACTGGAACTTCAAAAAGTATTTTCATTTATGCACTTTGTTGTAACAAATTTTAATCTTTAGACCGAGTCAGGAAAATCTACAAGAAGTTTCCTAAGGTTACCGTGCCACAACATTTGGACCTAGCTGATGATGATGAAATGCAAAAAGTTGCAGAAGCCCTCACCGCAGCAAAAACACGAGTAGAAGCTTGCTCATCCTTTGTAAAAGCTGTGATCAAGTGAGTGTACATCTTCTGAGTACGAAAATTTTTCTTCTTCATTGAAGTTCTGATGCAGTGGCTTTGTTTTTTATCAAAATTGAAATGAGTTTTTTCCTTTAACATTTTGAATGATTTTTCTCTTGATTCAGGTGGTCCTCAGAATTTGGAGCGCACAAGTATGGAGCTCCTGAGTTGCATGACATGCTGGCTGAGTATATATTCTCAGAGTCCCCTGAGGTGGTGTGTGTCCAGTACTGCTTCATTTCCTCTCTTTTTAACTCATTCTAATATATCTATTGTTAGATTTATCAAGATTTATTGGTAGCTAAATAGACTCCTCTGTATTTTCTAGAAGTGATCTTTCATCTTCTTTGACCTTTCATCTTCTCACTCTCATTAATGTACTTTTACACTCATTATTATAAATAAAGGAGTTCAGGGTTGTGGACAAACACACAACCAGAAAATTATTCTCTTCCTTTAACTCTCTTTTATTCAAGTTAGTATCAAAGCCCGGTTCTGCCATCTCTATCCAGCCCTGGCCGCTGCTCATCGTCGCAGACCTAACGTCGTTGTTTCCATATGGCTTCCGGTCTAACCCAACTCTTCTCAGGAACTCCTTCTATCACTTCAGAGAAGCTTAATAGGAAAAATTATATGTCTTGGTCAGCTGCCGTGGAACTTTGGTGTTTGGGACAAGGGTACCATGACCATCTTGAAAACGATGAAAATGAGATCAAGGAAGAACCTGAAAAGGTTAGATTACCAGTTGTGTGCTCTATTATGGCAGTCTGTAGAACCCAATATTTTAGGGACCCTCAGAACCTTCAAAACTTGCAAGATTTTTTGGAAGAAAGTCCAGGAGATCTTTACAAATGATATTCAGCGCCTATATGATGCTGCCGACAAGTTAACATCTCTTAAACAGATAGATCACAATATGATGTCGTTCATTGCCGAAGCGCAAGCTGCTGCCGAAGAACTGAAGATGTCCTTAGAAGCTGAATCTGTAGAGGAAACCAAGATGAAACTGGATAAATTTTATATGGTAATGATCCTCCGAGCCATGAACTCTGATTTCGATCACGTTAGAGATCAAATCCTTACTGGATCTGAGGTACCAACCATGGACAGTTTAACAACACGTCTCCTTCGAATTCCCACTCTCAAGGGTGACAAGTCTCAAGAACCTGCAGAGTTTTCAGCCATGGTATTTCATGGAAGAGGGGGTCGTGGAAACAGAGGAGGACCTGCAAGAAGAGGACGTCCCCAATGTACCCATTGCAAAAGAATGGGTCACACCCATGAGAACTGCTACTATCTTCATGGGATTCCTAATAAAACCTCAACTTCTCTAAATCTAAAGTTTCTGAAGTTTCTGACCGTTTCTGATCCAAAACTGTCTGGTGAGGAATACCAAGAGTATTTGAGACTAAAGTCCAACAACTCAGCAAAATCTTCCAAAACTCCGCTTACATCAACTGCTTGCGTTTCACAATCAATAGAAAGTCAAAATCCATGGATAATTGACTCAGGTGCTTCTAACCACATTTCTGGTGATACTTCTCTGTTCTCTTCTCTCACATCTTAAACACCCACATCTTATAACCATGGCAGATGGATCCAAAACAGCTTCCCAAGGAATTGGCCAAGTATCCCTTTCTCCTACCTTGAACTTAAAATATGTTCTTTTTGTCCCCACATGTCCGTTTAACCTCATTTCATTAAGCCAATTAGCAAAGTCATTGAACTGTACTGTAACCTTTGATGCTAATTCATTTGTTATACAGGAATGTGGAACGGGTCGGATGATTGGAGAAGGATATGAATCTAGAGGTCTCTACTATTTTGGAAACAAATCACCCGTCTCTTGTCTAGCTACTCCTTCTCCCAAACTCTTGCATGAACGTTTCGGGCATCCACATTTAGCAAAATTAAAGAAAATGGTTCCTGAACTCAGCGGTCTTCAAACCTTAGAGTGTGAGTCTTGTCAGCTCGGGAAACATGTTAGATCTTCATTTCCCAGCTATTCTGAGTCTAGATGTAATTCTGCATTTTCTATTATCCATTCTGATGTTTGGGGACCAAGTCGGGTTTCCTCTTTTGGTTTCAAATATTTTGTCACGTTCATTGATGAATTTTCCTAGTGTACTTGGGTTTATTTAATGAAGGACCGTTCTGAACTTTTGTCTATCTTTTCCTGCTTTCTTAATGAAATTCGCAATCAATTTGGAACAGTAATGAAAATTTTAAGGAGTGACAATGCCAAGGAATATTTCTCCTCTGGTTTTTCCTCCCTCTTAAGCTCACATGGCATTTTACACCAATCCACTTGTCCTCATACACCTCAACAAAATGGTGTAGCGGAAAGGAAAAATAGACACTTGATTGAGACTGCCCGTACTTTATTACTTGGTGCCAATGTACCAGTTCATCATTGGGGAGATGCTGTCTTAACTGCCTACTTTATTATTAACAGAATGCCATCCTCTTCTCTTAATAATAAAATCCCTCATTCTGTCCTGTTTCCTAATGAACCTCTCTTTCATGTTTCCCCTCGTGTGTTTGGTTGTGTCTGTTTTGTTCATGATATGTCTTCAGGATTAGATAAACTCTCGGCTCGGGCTGTCAAATGTGTTTTCTTAGGTTATTCCCGTCTTTAAAAAGGGTATCGTTGTTACTCTCCTGAGAATAAGAGATACTATATGTCTGTCCATGTCACTTTCTTTGAACAAACTCCTTTTTTCTCAGTTAGAGATCAATCTGTCCAGCAAGTTCTCCCTATACCATCTCTTGAACCCTTTGTTCCGTCTATTGTCAATGACTCCATTCCCAACCAGTCTCCTTTAGATCCAGTAGACGACTCAACCAACCAAAGTCCTCCTCTTATTACCTACCAACGTAGGACCTGACAAACCAATTCAATTCTTCAAAATGAGCCCTCTTCAGCAGATCCTTCTCAATCATCACCCTCTTCCACAATTCTTGATAATGATGATTTAGCTTGGCCGGTTGCTCTCAGGAAAGGTACTCGCTCTACCCGTAATCCACATCCTATTTACAATTTCCTTAGCTATCATAGACTTACTCCTTCCTATTGTAACTTTATATCCTCCGTCTCCTCAATCACAATTCCCAATGATGTGAAAGAAGCACTTGATCATCCTGGATGGCGACAAGCCATGATTGCAGAAATGCAGGCTCTTGAACATAATAAAACATGTGTATTAGTTCCGCTTCCACCAGGAAAGAAAGTAGTTGGATGTCGATGGGTTTATGCCATTAAAGTTGGTCCGAATGGAGAAGTGGATCGTCTCAAAGCCCGGTTAGTTGCCAAGGGATACACCCAGATCTATGGCCTTGATTATAGTGATACATTTTCTCCAGTGGCCAAAATGACTACTATTCGTCTCTTTTTTTCCATGGCAGCTATTTGTCATTGGCCACTTTATCAGCTAGACATAAAAAATGCATTCTTACATGGTGATCTGGATGAGGAGGTCTACATGGAGCAACCTCCTGGGTTTGTTGCTCAGGGGGAGTCTGGTTTGGTGTGCAAGTTACGCCGCTCTCTTTATGGTCTAAAGCAATCTCCCCGAGCTTGGTTCAGAAAATTTACTTCTGTTGTTCAAGCATTTGGGCTGAAACGTAGTGAAGCAGATCATTCTGTTTTTTATCGCCACACTTCTCCTGGTAAATGTGTTTACTTGTGATAGTGTATGTGGATGACATTGTTATTACAGGAAATGATGCTGCGAAAATATCTCACTTGAAGGAACACTTGGGCAGTTACCAGACCAAGGATCTTGGGAGTCTCAAATATTTCTTGGGTATTGAAGTGGCCCAGTCAAAAGAAGGTGTTGTAATCTCTCCAAGGAAATATGCTCTTGATATGCTAAAAGAAATGGGAATGATCGATTGTAAGCCCGTAGATAGTCCTATGGACCCGAACCAAAAGTTATTGCCAGAACAGGGAGAGGTCTTTTCTAATCCAGAGAGGTATAGACGGTTGGTTGGGAAGCTCATTTACCTCACTACCACTAGACCGGATCTATCATTTGCAGTGGGTGTTGTTAGTCAGTTTATGCAAGCGCCATACACTGAGCATTGGAACGCTGTCATTTGCATCCTAAGATACATAAAAAAGGCTCCAGGACAAGGCTTGCTCTATGAAGACAAAGGGAACACTCAAATCCTAGGGTATTGTGATGCTGATTGGGCAGGGTCTCCTGTGGATAGACGATCCACTACAGGATATTGTGTCTTTCTTGGAGGAAATATTATTTCTTGGAAAAGCAAGAAACAAAATGTAGTTGCCCTATCCTCCGCTGAAGCGGAATATAGGGCAATGGTGTCTCTCACTTGTGAGCTCATATGGGTAAAACAGTTTCTTCAAGACTTAAAGTTCTGTAAGGTTCAACAAATGAAGATGTATTGTGATAACTAAGCTGCCCTTCACATCGCCTCAAATCCGGTGTTCCACGAGAGAACCAAACACATAGAGATCGATTGCCATTTTGTTCGGGAAAAGCTGATGTCTAAAGAAATCAGCACCGAATTCATTGGGTCCAATAATCAACTTGCATATGTGTTGACAAAGTCTTTGAAAGGTCCTCGAATTGAATTTATTTGTTCCATGCTTGGTACATACAATTTGTATGCTCCAGCTTGAGGGGGAGTGTTAGATTTATCAAGATTTATTGGTAGCTAAATAGACTCCTCTGTATTTTCTAGAACTGATCTTTCATCTTCTTTGACCTTTCATCTCCTCACTCTCATTAATGTACTTGTACACTCATTATTATAAATAAAGGAGTTCAGGGTTGTGGACAGACACACAACCAGAAAATTATTCTGTTCCTTTAACTCTCTTTTATTGAAGTTCTATGTGTGCACGAGTGTATTTCCACACATATGATAATGATGATTATTTTCTGTTAGATGGTCCTCATTTTATTGACTAATATTTCACTGGAGATAGAGAAGTATACAAAGTATAGTGTAGGGTACACTAATGCCTCATCCTTATTGGGTATCTAATATGTTTTTGGTTCCTAGGACATGGGTAAAGTATCCTTCCATTTTGTCAGAGGAAAGAATCCAAAGAAGTTCGTCTCAACTCTTATCAATTTTATGAGCAAGGTTAGGTTCCATTTTCCTCTATTAAAAAAACTCGTTGCCTAGGTTAGCTGGGAAATGCAAAGGTTTCTAAGTGTGAGCTGTAATGGTCCATATGCAGTGTTACCCTGGAGAAGATGATTTGGCTATTGCTAGGGCAGTCTTAATGTAAGTACAGTTGGAATGTAAATAAGTGTCTGGGTATTAGCTATTGCAGGAGTTTAGTACTGGACTACTGGTCTACCTGAGTTCTTGTTAAGGACTCTGTTTCTTATATATTGTCAAATTTACAATTACTATCTGTTTTTCTTTTTAGGGTGCTTTAATAGGACTTGTAATGTTTCTTTGCTGCTGATTTCTATATATTTATTTCCTATAATGAATTTATTCTGATATCCAACCTTATGAGCTGTGACATAAGAAATGATGTTTGTTCCCTTAAAAATAACTAAAGTGTGTTTTTGCTTTACAGTGAATGTTAGATTGGATATGAACGATAAGTTTGGGCTTGTGATGTTCCACTTCTATCAGTGAAACTAATAATGCAACGCTGTCATATATCTTTTTGCTCCTGTGTTGTACCATTTCAAACAGGAAAACTAGTTATGCAGTGTTGTCATATGTTCTTGTGCAATGCCATACATTATGTAAGTGAGACTAGTAGAGGCGTAAGGGTGTCAAAAGAATCCATTTTCCATCATCCATCAGAAGGCATTTCCAACTCCATCCAATACATCTTTAGATTAAAGATAATGGACTGGATTCAGTCCCTCCATCTGTATTGTATTCATGGTTGTACTTGCGCAATGCAATTGCGCCATGAGGTGCGCCTTATTTAAGAGGCGATAAATGGCATTGTTTTTTTTCACGCAATGTAATGAGGCGCATAGAGGTGCACACAAATTTGGAGCAGGTTTAAGTTTATTTTATTTGGGGCCACTTAACAAAAAGAGCCCACTTTTTGTATATTATAAACTAAAAAGTCACGTCTCATAGACTTAAACCTTCCTCTTCTCCTCTGCAACTTTATTCAGTCTTCACTTTATCCTATGAAACTCTTCTCATGCACTTCATCTCTATTTCAAATCACTAGATAATGATGATTCGATTTCTCATTCATCAATCTAATAAACATACAGTTGTTATATGTTAGGATTTCGGAATTTTGTTTTGATACGGTTCAAACATATTTAGCTAGGATTCTGACATCATCATTATCTGTTTAAATATTCCATATGTTGAATTTTAATAATTTTTTATTCTATATATATGTGTGTGCCTCATTGCGCAATGAGGCATATGCAATCTGAAAATACCTCCTCATCTAAGCAACACGTAATTTCGAACCTTGATTGTATTGATGTCTAACATTTAATGTAATGGATTGATCTGATATATTTTCTATATTTATCGAATGTCTAAACCATCTTTTCGCATTTGTTCATGATTTTGTTCTCTACCCAATACCCATTGTCATGGATATGCTAAAGAATCAATCCAATATATATTGCTGAAATATTTATATACATGTAAATTAATAAGAAAAAGGATTCAATCATGAAAAAGTTTTTAATGGATCATGGAGTTGTTAGATTGTTTTGGACCCACTCGTTTTACTCTGAATAGAAATATTCCAATCAATCCATTCGTCAGCTTCTTAAATTAGTATTGATGACTTCTTATGAATATACATGACTGCAGATGCAGAATATTTGGAAGTGAGTGTGTGGGTCTATTTATATACAACCAAGATTGATTAATTTGGATTATTCTTACAACTAGGTACTTGTGCCTGGGTAACCTGCGAGACGCCAACTATACTATTGATGAGTTAAAGAAGCAAGTTAACCTTAAGGAGCTTGGCTTTCCTGAATCTGAACTAATGCAGTTCATCACTTATCTTCTCTTGACGTAAGTTGACTATTTTTTGCATTATGCTCATTAAGACCCAATGTGTTGATTCCCCTCCTCGCATTTAGTTCAATTCATTTTTAGTCTATCAGACTTCTCTTCATCCTCCCACATTCCAAGATCCCAACTCCCGCAGCGGGGGTACCAACTTCTCGATAAATGACATGCCCGAACTAGTACACTTGTTTCGCCCTTAGTTTATCGTCCACAACGTCTATTCTGAACCTCTTGCAAATATATAATTCATTTTTCAACATTAAGATGCATCCGTATATTTAAGTCTTGTAAGATTACAAATTTTCAGTTCAATCTTTATGTTAAATTTCAATCGCATAGTACTCTTCTATGCATGTGTATATATATTGGTGGAACTTAGGTGCTTGTCATCATGTAATGTAACCTGCTATTTGTTCTTTTTCATTCATGTAATGTTTTATGCCCTCAAACTCCTCGTCTCGGCATTTCATAATGAATCTTAAGAGGGAATGAGGTGTTGCTGATGCATTTGATTTTCAATGCAGGTTGCAGAGAGATGCATTGCCTCTGTTTCATAGGTTAAGGCAGTGCTTCAAACCTAGTATAAGTAGAGATCCAACATTTAATGAGGTCTGCTATATTTCCTACTTTCAAATGCTTTCTCATACGGAAGGATATCAGCGCTAGAAAATCGCTGCAAACACACCACCTTACACATCACCTTTGTTTTTGTTCTGACATACACACGTACAGACACTTACAGATATAACTAATCCCTCATATCTATGATTGTCTCCATCCTTGCTTGTCAACAACATTATAGGTTGTGTGTTTGTAGTATTACTTGTTTTGCAATAGCAAGCCTAGGCTGGGCCGCGAATTTTAAATTTTCTCATTTTTTTCTGTCGAAATGGTGTGTAACTCGTTTTGATTGGATTGTTCATATAAAAATTTGTGCAACTCACTTTAAAACAATACTAAAATGAATAATCATTTGTTTCCCATGTATTAAAATGGTGTCATTCTTCATAATTGTCATTATAAATGTAGGTGGATAAGTGTACAAGTGGAATAAAATCAAATACTCCCTCCGTCCCTTAAAATTCTTAGAAGTTACCTTTTTTAAACGTCCCAAAAAAAATTCTTCCCATTTCCCTTTTTGGAAAGTTTTGTGTGACTAACATTCATTTACCTTTTTCTTACTCAACTACAACCATACATTTCCACTTTATTCTCACTTTCTTAAACTCTGATCCAAATCAAACCGGGAAGAATTTTATGGGAAGGAGGGAGTACTTTTTATCGAATTTCCAATCTTCCACTTATTTAGAAATTTAAATTTTCTACAGGACACATGTTCAGAAGCTGAGGCGTTCATAGTTTTACGAAAAAGTTAAGATTAATGAATATGAGATTATCCAATCAATTGAGTAATACACTAACACATAATACAGCAATTGTGATGGAAAATTTCAATTGGTGAGATCATGCTTGCATTGTTCTCTCTTCATTAGTTTGATTCCATGTTTGGTCATGTAGTTGTTAGATGAAATAGCAGAAATTTTTTATGGAGTACAACGCCAGAGCCCGCTGCAGGGAATGTTTGGAGATTTCTTCAAGGTAGCGTTCTTGTTTAGTCCAAGGGTGAAATTTCGGAATTCTCCATTCCGAGAGTGAAAAAAAAAATTCTTTTCAAAAACTTCCTTTTTTCCTTAGAAAGATGTTACCCATCAACCCTTTCATGTAAATAAATTGAAAATGTAGTAGGATTTGTTCTCCTTAAAAGTTGCACCTCTCACCAAGATAAATAATTGTACTACATCCTCAAAAAGTCACGATTCATTGTTTTTTCCTTTAGTTGTTGGATACGACACTTAAACTACTATGTCCATTTGTTGACAGATGATGGGAGGTCAATAGCTCCTTGCCAGCGAGCTGACAACACTAGTTAGGTTCTTGAAATCATATGCAGTTCACAACTCTCTATCTATACTTGAATAGTAGGCATATCTTTTATGTTCAAGTTTTTGTTTGTATCTCACTTCATAATATAATTGCTTGCAAACGTCGCTTTCTGTTATGTGCTTCTACAGTGCACACATGCAGTGTGGTCTCTCGTCTGCAGTGGTTCATGTTCGATTTTGTTTGAATGCTGATCCTATTTTACTGGATTTGAGTTGTAAACCTAGTTTTATTTCGGAGTAATTTCACACCTGACTTGTGGGTAGGGATGGACTAGGGCTGGGTCAACCGGCTCGTAACTGGCCCGGCCCGACACTGTTACTCCTGCCTGGTACCCGGGCCTGTGCCCGGTTCGGGCCACCCGGGGCGGCACTGTTACGGAGCAGTTGCCGGGTTTCCAAAATCACGAACCGGCTCAGCCGGTTCGGGCCCGATCCGGGCCTCAACGATCATATTTTAAAAAGAATTTTTTTAAAAACTAAACCCAGCTCCTAGGCTTGGACTCGGGCCGGGCCTCCGGTTTGTAAATGATGGGCCCGGGACTGGCCCGAGGTAAAGACGGTTCCGGTTCGGGCCGGGCCACCTGCCCGGGTCATGGGTCGGGCCACCCTGCCGGGCCGGGTCGGGCCGGGTAAATCCATTTTTTTACTTATTTATTCTTTATAGTTTTATACAAGTATTAAAAACAAATTTCAAGTGCATTTTTTTGAAATGAAATAGGAACTACATTTGAAATACGTGATACAAGGTTCTCGGGTCCTGTGTATAAAAATTATACGTGATAACGGCATATTGACTTTCCATATTAAAAACGGTAGATTTAATAATTCTATAAATACTAGAAAGTCTAGAATAGATGGAGATAGGGATGGATTCGGTTCGGGCCACCCGGCCCGGTACTGTGCGGGCCCGGGACCGGCCCGGTCGGGCGGTCCGGGACCGGGTATGGACCTGAACCGGTGGGAAGGGGCGGGGCGGGCTCGGTGCTGGAATATTGTGACCCGGCCCGGGCCCGGGTCCGGTCTACTTTTAAAAAAATATGTTGTACACAAAACTAGTTAATTCACTACTTAATTTGCTATAACTCGAATTAATAGTTAGATAAATAGTTGATTAGTTTTTTATAATTTTTTATTAATTGCTACATTTGACTCTAGTTTAAAAAATATGTTGTACACAAAAGTGACAAAACTAGTTAATTCACTACTTAATTTGCTATAACTCGAATTAATAGTTAGATAAATAGTTAATTAGTTTTTTACAATTTTTTATTAATGGCTACATTTGATTCTAGTTTAAAAAATATGTTGTACACAAAACTAGTTAATTCACTACTTAATTTGCTATAACTCGAATTAATAGTTAGATAAATAGTTAATTAGTTTTTTTACAATTTTTTATTAATTGCTACATTTGACTCTAGTTTAAAAAATATGTTGTACACAAAACTAGTTAATTCACTACTTAATTTGCTATAACTCGAATTAATAGTTAGATAAATAGTTAATTAGTTTTTTACAATTTTTTTATTAATGGCTACATTTGACTCTAGTTTAAAAAATATGTTGTACACAAAACTAGTTAATTCACTACTTAATTTGCTATAACTCGAATTAATAGTTAGATAAATAGTTAATTAGTTTTTTACAATTTTTTATTAATCGCTACATTTTTTAGATGGATCGTCCTAGATATTCGGTTGATATGAGTAACCTCGAGCGCAACCGAACGAAAGAGCTTGCGAGGAAGAGATCCCGCAAAGGTAAATCACATATCGGCTCTTCATCTCAAAGTCAAGATGATTTTGATACGGGTTACGTAAGGAGGGATGGGGATGCGATGACCGACGAACAACTAGAACAAGAATTGCACCGACATAATTCCCGCTTTTTTCAAGACCAACCGAGGACCATTGACGAAGAAGAGCTCGAGGACGAGGACGACGATGTGTAGGAAGCAATTCCGGAGAGCCATGACGATGAGGAGGAGGAGGGTGGCGGCAGCCATGACGCCGACCAAGCAGCCTCATCCCAAACAGGTACAAAAAAAAGTAAATCTGAATTAATGGCTAATAATTTTTCTAAGTGGAAGGACCCGAACACCGGGAATTGGACCGCAACTTGCAATTGGTGCAAGAAAAACTATAGCTTGGGGATTTCCGACGGATACGGATCCGCCACAAGACACCTTAAGTCCAAACACCCGGTGGAGTATGCAAAATTAGGCGGCAGAACGGGGAAGCAAACGCAAATATCGAGGTTTGCAAATAACCAACAAGCTTTTGGTAATTTCTCATACAATGATGCACAAAATTTGACAGGTATGGCTAACTTACTTGTTGAAGAAAATTTGCCTTATTTGTTTTCTGAAAGTCTTGCTTTTCGTGATTATGCACAAACTTGTTTAAATCCGCAATATAGAGGTTATAGTCGCAAAACGGTTAAGAAAGAAATTTCAAGGCTTTATGGTGCGGAAAAGGTAAGGTTACAAAATTATTTTGCAAACTTTGATGGACGTGTTACTGTATGTTCTGACATATGGGAGGATACGTATCATAATTTACATTATTTGGGTCTGACTGTACATTATATTGATAATGATTGGCATATGCATAAACGTGTTCTTGCTTTCCGTGAATTTAATGATCGTCACACCGCTGAACATATTTATATTTTGATTGAACGTATTTTAATTGAGTATAATTTAATTGATAAGGTGTTTGCTATTGGTTTTGATAATGCTACTAATAATACTGCTGCTATTCCTAGATTGCGTGAATTGTGTGGTTCTACTTCTTTGATGGGTAGATTTTTTCATCAACGATGTGCATGTCATGTTCTAAATTTATGTGTGCAAGATGGTCTAAAAGCGTTGGGAGCATCGTTGGAGGTAGTCAAGGGGGGGGGGGGGGGGGGGGGGGGATTAGACGTATTTGGGGTAATGGACAACTTAGGAAAAAATGGCATGATTATTTGATAGAAAGAGGTGAGAGATATGTGGCTTTTCCAAAAGATTTGTCTATTCATTGGAATAGTACCTATAAGTTAATTGGAGTTCTTCTTAGATATAAACAACATTTTCCTGCTTTTATGAAACAATATGATAACTATATTATAAACTCGGCTGAGATCGACACCTGTGAAAAAATTTGTAATGTTTTGATATATTTTAATAATGCAACTGAAACTTTTAGTCATGTTTATAAACCTACCTCAAACCAATTTATTCGTGAAGCTGTTAATCTCGCCGGTGCTTTTTCAAATTTTGAGAATGCTGATTATGTGAGTTATTTTGCTGGTTTTATGAAGGAAAAGTTTTTAAAATATTATTCACATATTCCGCATATTTATGGTATTGCATTTGTTCTCGATCCTCGTTTTAGACTTGGTTCTTTAGAAGAATGTTTGAATTATTATTATGCTGCTTTTTTTGGTCCATTGCCAATGTATGAGGACAACCCAATTGGTCCGAAAAAAGAATACAACGAGGTTAGTGATATGTTTTATGCATTATTCAATGAGTTTAATGCACAATATGGCAATGCACCTCCTCCCCCGACACAAACATCATCTAAAGGAAAATCAATTTTCAAATCTACGTTTGCCAATCTTATTAAAAAAACAAAATCAACTCCCGCTACACAACAAAGCACAATTAATGAGATTTCTTTGTATTTAACTTATGATGTTGATTTTGAAGAAGATGATGATTTTGACGTACTAAACTGGTGGAAGGGAAAAGAAAGAATGTTCCCGGTTTTAGCAAAGATGGCTAAGCAAGTGCTATCAATGCCGGTTTCAATGGTTGCCGTGGAACAAGAATTTAGTTCGGCCGACAATGTTCTAACACAAACCAGAACGATGTTGAGCGCTGAATCTCTTGAGATGCTTATATGCTACCACGATTGGTTGAAAGCAGCACGTAGAGCTCAAGAAATTGACATCACTCCATCCCAACACTTTATGGATGAATCTACAACAGAGGGTGGCTCTACCTATGCCGGAGATTCCGATTAAAAACAATTATAGTTCCTATTTAATTTTCAAATGTAGTTCCTATTTCATTTGAAATAAATGCACTTGAAGTTTGTTTTTTAATACTTGTATAAAACTATAGAGTATAAAATATAAATTAAAAAAAAAAATATTTAACCGGCGCGGCCCGGCCCGGCGGGTGGCCCGACCCGTGACCCGGGCGGGTGGCCTGGCCCGAACCGGACCCGTCCAACCCTCGGGCCGGTCCCAGGCCCATGTGATACGAACCGGCGGCCCGGCCCGAATTTATCCCTAGATGGAGATGAAGATGGAGAATGGAGATTGGAGATTGGATATTGGAGAAGATGTGTATAAAAATGTTAGAAAATAGGAGTATTTATAGAAATTTTTGTACCCCACCCCCACCAACGGCTATATAGTTGTTTGGGCCTTTGAGGCTTAAGCCTTTGAATTTAAATTTCAACGGAACATGAAAAACTATAGCTGTTGGGAACACTCTTAAATGGCTCTGATGGAGTATATGGGCCTGGACCCTAGGGCCCACATACTCAGAAGGACAGAGGGTACCACGACCACCTGGTGGGACCCTCGTCGGCCAGATGACCCTTATCGACCAGAAAGAAGTCTACTCAGAACGAGATCCAGAAGCCAGTAAGAGCCGGGTGACCTCGTCGGCTGGGTCTTCGTCGGCCATGCCCTCGTCGGTCGTGCCCTCATCGGCCACAGATGGCCTCCAGAATAGGGTTTTATACTTGATCATTTCTACACCTTTGTATCCGGCCCATTAGTGGCCCTATTGTAAATGGGCCTCCCAAGCCCAAGACTTGGGAGTCCAGCCCTAATTTTTCCTATAAATACTCCCTCTGGGAGTAGTTGTAAGGCTTCACAAATTCATTAATACAGAGCAAATATAGAACTCTCTCTAGCTCTCCTTTCTCTCTAGACTTATAGTCTATCATTTGGTGCTTTCATTGAGAACTAGAACAATCAAGTTAGCCTCCTTCGTCACTACCAAGCACAACTAACTGATCATGGGAAGAACCAAGTCAAACCGTAACCTCCTCGGCAAAGCCATCCCTGAGGCCCAAGAGCATCAGGAACACGAGGAGGACGCAACGGCCGACAAGGCCGCCGAGGGAGACGTCTTCCAGGAAGCCATCGACCTTGCGGGAGACTTGCGCAACAAGCTTAACGGCGGCGCTACGGACGCCCGCCTCGGCCTGGACAAAAAGCGCGCGG